AGAACGACGCCGTGCACCTGTGCGCCGCGATGAAACTGGACCTTAACGTGGTGCGATGGTTTGTGTGCCTCAGCGATCCATTGAGCTAGGCTGGGTGGTACTTTTTTGCACGTTTAGAGGCACTCATACCAGATTGTTCAATGGTTAAAGGCCGGACAAACTCAGTCTCTTGGCCCTCCAGGTTGGGGATTGGAGTGAGGCTGGCTCCTTATTCCTTAAAACGGACTCCTTGTAGCCCAACGCCAAACCCGCTGCCTTGCGGTCAGGTTTTTGAACCAAAGGCTTTGGTTAAAAACCCTAATCGTTCTTCTGTCTAGGTGTGGGCAACCTGACAGTATCCTGCTCACGCAGTGCAATGAATTTCACTTCAAACAAATTTTCTAATGTTCTGGTCACCACAGAGGATGATAAACGGCGCCCTATCTGCTGCATCGAGCAGGATAGATAGGGGTTTGGATGATACTGCTCAAGCCTTCCCGTCTTCTTATCTTCCTCGCGTTTTTTCATCCTTATCGTCCCGCTCCAACTTTACTTTTACCCCCCATTTTCCATCCCCTAATTCTTGGCCCTCCCCCAGCTTACTTCAATAGTCGCTTGTCTTCTAATTTCAAATCGCACACAATCGCAGGGCCTCGCTCCAATCCAGTTGACAAGTCCATGTTCAACCAAGCGGACAACGTCAGTTCATCCGTTTCCCTTTGGAGTCCTCGTGTCTCGCTAAGACTGACATTCCTCAACGTGCGCACTTTGCTACAGATTGGCCAACAAGCAGCACTTGACCGCACACAAGAGACCCTCTCGATCGATATTTGCTGTTTGTCGGAAATCCGCCTGCAAGATTCGAGCTCCGTGGTTACCCTACCATCTCCTTCATGCGACACTGGCGGCACATTCTCATTGTGCTTGTCTGGCGATGATACAGCTTCCAATTCCAGTCAAGCTGGCGCCGGCATTTTTTTGATTCCCTGGACTGAAGCTGCCCTGATCGATTGGATCCCAGTCAATAGTCCGATGTGCGCCGTTAGACTAGCTGGTTCGTTTCATGCTACAAAGTCGCGCGGGAACAAACGGTGCCTGTTTGTTATTGCGGCCTCCGCAAATTGTAACACTAATTCGGTGAAAGATAATTTCTATCAACAACTTCACGATCTCCTTGGTTACAGAAGAAGCACGGATACTGTGGTGTTGGCTGGCGATCTAAACGTACGAGTCGGAAAATTGTCCTCTGACGACCTTCATCTGGGCGGCCAGCATGGTGTAGGCTCCCGTAATGATAACGGTGAGCGATTGCTACAGCTGCGTGAAGATGCTCGTCTATTTCTCGAGAGCACTAACTTCCGACACAGCACCCGCAGAAGCATGACTTGGTGCCCAACAGTCTCGGGCCAGCCATGGAGGCAAATCGATCACATCGCAATTAGTTACCGCTGGAGAGCCTATGTCCAAAACTGTCGCTCGATTTGGAGCACCAGCGTGGACTCCGATCACGGTTTCATGTGTGCCGATCTGCGGGTGCACTTTGGATGACGTTCGTAACGTCGATGTGAACGGATTGATACCAGCCAGTTGGCGAAGCCAGGTGTTCTGAGTGCGTATCAAACTACGCTGGCATGTGGGCGGTCGAAGATCACTGGTCGCATATTCGTCAAACGTTGCTATCAGCAGAAACTTCTTCATGCGTCAAATCAAATTGCCAACCTAGACATAGGGTTTCTACAAAGTCTCTGGAACCTATGGATGTTCGCCGACGTATTCCGACTGGAAGCGAATACAATGAGAGTCGTAAAAATCTCAGGGGAAAACTTCCTGCTAGCCTGAAGAGAGACTGCGAAGCCTGGTGGTCTCATCTGAAATGGAAACAGCCGCCGCCGTTAGTAATCATCGTAAGTTATTCCGTCTGCTACGGGAAGCAGGCAAGAGAAGACCTAGTGTTAGCGAGACCATACGCGACGAGAGTGGACAGTCGATCCACAGCTTGTCAAAACGCTTGGAGCGTTGGGCCGAACACTTTGCAAGGCAGTTTAGGCAATCTGAGTTATCGCTTTCTCCTTCGGGCTTTGAGTGCGCTTCTCCCTGTGCCGCCTCCTTGGATCCGCCCTCACGCGCAGAAGTCGAACGTGAGATCAGACTGTTGAAATTGCATAAGGCCGCTGGTGCAGATAGAATTCCTCCAGCCCTCTTCGAATTCGGGGAACCTGCTTTTGTAGATGATTTTCACGAGTTGTTAATGGAACTTTGGGAGCTGGGGACTGTCCCGACAAACTGGAGCCGCTCCGTCATTGTCCCAATTTTCAAGGGAGGCTCCCGTTCGGAATGTGGCAATCATAGAGGGATCAATCTGATCTCAATTGCTTCTAAATTGCTTGCCTCTGTCATTCTCCACAGACTGACTGACACTCGTGAAAGCGATATTCGTGAAGACCAAGCCAGATTTCATCTAGGTCGAGGCTGCATTGACCACATGTTCATCTCGCGTCAGTTGGAACACCGCCATTTTTATTGGCGACCCACCGTTGTCGTGTTTCCTGATATAAAAAGTGCCTTCGACTTAGTCGATCTATGTGCACTTTGGGACTGTTTCTTGAGGAAACATGTCTCTGATAAATGCGTAACCATTACCAAAGCGCTGTAGGCGCATTGTTCGGGCAGAGTTAGGATTTATGGCAGACTGTCGCCACCCTTCAGTATCATCAGCGGTGTGAGACAAGGTTTCCCGCTGTCATCTTTCCTCCTTAACTTCGCTGTTGATGAAGTCATGGAAACAGCGTTCACTGGACACGAACTAGATGGTGTGGAGCTACTTCCTGGTGAGCGACGTCTTGACTTGGAGTACGCGGACGATATTCTCCTAATCTTCGACAGCTGCCAAACATGTCACGCAGCACTGAACCGATTAGCACTGTAAGTCATTGGTTTTGGGCTATACTTTGCTTCATCGAAATGCAAAGTACTTTTCCAAGATTGGCAGGGACCCAGCCCTGCGCTAACGCCTTGTGGTGATCTGCTAGAAGTCGTTCAGGAATTCAAGTACATGGGCAGCTTTATCGGTGTCCGTGGGATTGAAGATGAGGTTACGGACCGTAAAGCAAAATCTCGAGGTGCTTTTACCAGTCTCTTCCACTTGTGGCGCAGACGCGAAACTACTCTTGCCCTAAAGGGCAGAGTTTATAACGCAGCCGTCCGTTCAGCCCTCTCGTACGGTTGTGAAACCTGGCCCGTCAGGTCGACAGACATAAAGACGCTTGTCACATTCGATCATCACTGCCTAAGCTAAGCTGATATGTGGTGGGAGCATCGCGTGAGCAATGAACTTTACGGCGTCACCTATTTGTGCTGGAAGAGGAAGTGAACCGCTCAGCACCAGTATATCACGCACTAGGCTCCGATGGCTGGGCGACGTGTTGCGCATACCAGCACACCGATTTCCGCGACGTGCATTGTTTGTGCGGCAGAGGTGCGGTTGGAAGAGAAGAGGAGGCCAAGCGAGAGAAATGAAAACCATTACTTCGAAGTTGGCGTCGGTTAGTGCATGCCAACTGCCTAGCTGGGTTCCTGAGGACGATGAACACGTTTGGTTGGACACTTGCAGTTCCTTCGTTCATCCCCCTCCTGCTTAGCCTCCTCCTCCACGGAACGGTCCATCCGTTACTGGGGCTCAGCCGGTGTGCCACTGTTGTATTTTTTTCTTGTCTTTAGCATTGCGGCACAATAGCTGAGGTGTTTTCCATCTGCAGCTAACGTGTATAATGATGATAATGCAACGAACAGCTGCTAACAGATGGCGCGGTATCGCTGGTTTTAGTTTTTCTCTTCATCTTGTTGTTTTTGAGTACTTAGCAGCGCCCCCTCCGAGCATGAAATTTCTCGAGCAGAGATTGCTCGGCTGAAATGCGAACTAATCGATTCATGTACCCCGGCTGTTGTAATATGCTCTGCGTGCATTTTTCGCAACACTGGTTTGCTATTCATAGACGTTTCATAATTTTGGTCGTGTTACTTTCTCGGTATAGTGAATGGTGACACGCAATGTACCAACGGCAGTGAGCTGCACTCATTGTTATGTAAACACGATTCGAATGATCAAGATGGTCGCAGCTCGGCCGAAACCATCATTTCGTACATAACCGGCAAGTTAACTGAAATTATTGCGTTCCGCTGAATGTCATGCAATGAGTAATGATTTATCACGGGTAAAATATCAGATACTTGACAAGTCCCGTAAGGTGATTAAGAGGAAAGCTTCAAAACCAAAAGCCAATGCCAGGCGAGTCACACATAAATGATTTCTGCAAGAGATTTTCGTCCTTTACCGGTGTCAGTAATGTGTTCCTCTGTGGGTAGTACACTACATGATTCGCACCATTCACTGCTTCTTTTCAACATACGCGTATGGCTCATCGAACTCGTTTATGTGAGAACACCATGCTACAGGCTTAAACACCACTATTAAGAGCTATCGCACGCGAGTTCACATTCACGGTCCAAGCCACTTCACAACTCCATGACCGTAATGTCTGAATTTGATCGGCGTGGGTGCCGAACGAAATCGATACCTGGGATGAATACACCGCCACATGCCAAATTTAACGCCTATCTTTTGACTGGCTCGCCCCTTCGTCTGGGACACTATCCGGACTGGGGACAAGCTGGTTACTTTTTACTAGTTTCCCGCAGACAATCGTTTCTTCCTCGCTGTGTTATTGATGGAACAGCCTACCCCACCGCGCCACCTGTTTTAGGTAGCTTGACGTTCCTCTGTTTACTAAAAATTGGAAGCGAATATTTCTGTTTGTTGTAACAGTATTACATCTGTGGGCAGACACAACAATGTACTATCATTATTGGTGGTATGTGTGTAAGGACTCATTTTCCGATTGTGTTGTTTTTAGGCAACTATTTCCGAGCGCTCCATCGAACTAAAGAAGACTAGTCTGCATATTCACAATGCCGTTGGTGTTAGAGTAAAATGTTTGCCCTTTGTCTCTTCCATTTTCATTCAGTACCTTCTCGAGATGAAGCCGTTAATATTACCAACAGAGCACATTTTGAAGCGTGGCGATTCAGAGGCGATTGCCTACGCGTTCTTTCATTTGGCTCACTGGAAGGCAGTGGACGGCGCCATCAACCTGCTTCATTGTACCTGGGAAGGCACTTTCCGGCTTATTCCGTATCCACTCGAGAAGGGCAATTTGTTTTATCCCTATCCTCATTCAGCAACTGCAACCGACCGTGAACTGTTACCCAGTAAGTGTTCGTTGATGTTTGCCCACCACAAGCACCAGTCTTTTGTTTTTCTATTTACTCCCTGTCAATATGCAGTCCATCACTCAAGTCGGTCATTTTTCGTTGTGACATCGAGAATTACTTTCCTTGTGATTTTTCCGCCATTGTTGCTGGCATTCTCACACACGGGGCAATTGGTCGTTCCACAGAAAGTGGCGGGGGGGGGGATTAAAAGAGGGAAGCTTCTCGTTGCATAGTAGTAGAACATGACATGGGACCTACCGATAAATCCACTTTGTTTCGCCTCAGTAATCATCTTCTCTCAAATATGACCTAACTTGATATGCCTAGAGGCAGCTATTTTTGCCCTATCATTGGGTGGCCGTGTACTCAATTTAGGTTCCCCATAGTTATCATTTCTGATAATGCAACAATGCCCTCTTTGTAGTGGCACGCAAGCATCCCTCATTTGTGTCGCGACAAATACGGCAAATATATCTCACTAAACAATTTTGTGAATTGCTGTCGCTGTGCAGTGTTTTGATAAAATAGGAATCTGACTAGTTTGCTCTGATCATCACCCAGGGTCCAAAAAGTCACACTGTTCACTCGTCTTGTATGGCTTACACATGAGTCCATTGATCAATCATATTTGATTGACACTGACGTAACGGTTCGATACTGAGGGACTGTGTTTATCTTGGCCAGAATACCCTAATATACCGACCACTCTTCAGCTTCATGAGATCATCCGTTACCAGAAGGCTGTCTTTTGTCAAATCTGTTCATGTCTCCCCACATTCATGGCCGACCCTTGTGATTTTGGGTCAGCGCACAACTCTATATCCACCAAATGTGTATCTGAACACACTGCATTTGCGTGCATCCCATTGTGTTGGCGAACTGTGTGGATCATTCATCACCTTCACTCTCTCATTACGTCGTTTGACTCCATTAAATTGCTGTTCAGTAGCATCTCACTGTTGAAATCTGGGACTCTACTCATAATCCTCAAACATACCTTAAGAGATTTGAGAGTATTCCATCCACTCAATGACTGCATCTAACTTATCAAACTGTAAACTGATTGGTCGGTTTTCATCTCACAACCAAACTGCAGGTTTTCACGACATCTCGGTGTATCCTAAGAAAGACGTACCGTTCTTCATCCTTTTCACTGCGGCATTGTGTTCTCTGACGGCAGTGCTGGCGTGTTTGACGCATATCTATCCGGACCAGATGGGAATGCTTTCCAAAAAAGTACGTCCACCACGACATACAACAAGATTGGCTTTGTTTTTATGCTCCTGTATCTGTGTCTGCAATAACATCGCCCAATCTGATAAGCTTATGTTTATTAACGTCGGTCTTAGCATAAAGGCATTCAATCCAATTGATTTATTTGCGTTGTGTTGCGCAGCATAGATTGGTTCCATCACTACGCTTCCTATTTGGCGTGACCCTGTTTCGACCTGTCACTTCTCATCCGTCCGTGCATATCGACATTTTCGCATTTGCAAAGCAATGTGCTATTTACATGTAAACAGTTATCAAAACCGTATCTCAAATCTTGTATCACACGAATCTATTCACTTACGTTGTCAAGATTATTATCTGATCAAGCAGCAGTTGTCACATATCTGCTTGTACAGAACTGATCATATCTTCTTTAGTGTGCCTCGTGTAACATCGAGAATATACATTTTTATTCCATATAATCGACGACTTTGAACGTCAGATGCATTGGGATGCGCAATGTATAATTGCGGTTTGGTGAATATATTTCCCGGATTTACTTGTGCATGCTGTGGTGTTGTTTGATGAGTTCCCGCGATGCTCCTGGTCTTATTCATGTCACGTGCCTTGTTTGTCGCATTCCCTCCTCACACACACACACATCGTTTCCTGCAATCGCACTGACGTGAAGTTATTGGTCCGCGAAATAGGTAAATGATATCTGGATTGTTATCCTGTTAACTACGATTCACAGTACCATACCCACTTTGGGGTTCCCAGAAGGTCCGCGGTACCCGCTCGGACGCAGACATGTACCCGATTGTCGTGCTAGAATGGAAACGGAAACAAGTGTAACTAAACGTTTGTTAGAGTTGCACAAATTTCATCACTGGAGAAGAATGGCAGATATAGCCGGGGGGGTTTGTTGCATACGTCCATCCAATATGCAGTGCACTTAGCCAACAGCCATTTTTTGTTCGCTAGACTGTGTCGTACTACAGATCACGTCTTCTGGGACGACACCACCAATTGATGATGACAACGCCGAATAGGATGCGCTGTTTGAAACAAAAATTCACTTTATATTCCCAAGGTGGAGAGCAGATGTGAGTTGTGAGGTGACGTCATCATCTCATGCATTCTTATTTGTCACATATCTTTGGTAGTAATGCACGAAATGACGTTATCTCACAGCTTAATTCTTCTGATTTTTCTGTTTGAAACTGGGCTATTTTTGGAATTCGCGCACATTTTGTAGTCCCTAGAAAAACGGAAGCCTGTACAATTTAACCCCCCATTAGGATTGTCCACAAATCGACATACTAAACGTTAATCGGCCGGTCATCTGAACGTCGTGCATTGGAAGGCGATTTGCCGCGTTGTTCTCGCCAACTTCAAGCTTACAATTGTCGTGTTCCTCAAAGATGCCTTCGATTCGGTGAATCGATGTGTTCTTAAGGACTTTCTGGGGAGGAAAGGTATGCCCGAAAAATATGTAATTAATATCCTAGCGGTTTATGCGCGTAGCTCGGGCAGAGTGAGGGCTTACGGCAAGCTGTCGCCGCCCCTCAATATCTCCAGCGGTGTAAGACAGGGATGCCCGTTGTTACCTTTCCTCTTCAACTTCGCAGCCGGATCGGTTGCTCTTACGGCCTTCAAATCGGCTGTTGCGGGTATACAAGCTCTGTAGGAATATTTTGACAACTTTTTGTCCAAAGTACTTCCAAATTTACGAGGACCATCTTACTCTACATACTTTGAATACTAAACCGAGATGCCGCGCACTATTCGTGGTTTGTTATTTTTAGTCACGTACTTCTAGGCCTGATGAAACCAATTATGAAGAAATGCCTTCGCAAAAACGTACTACTATATCGGCTGAAAAAAACTGAGGATTCACTTTATCGATTTGCGTACAGTGCTCGATAATACGAGTCCTTTTACTCGAGTAACACCAATACGCCTTTTCTAATTTCTTTATCCGTTTATAAACGTTTGCATTTTTGAAGATGTCATTTTACTTCATCCGTAGTTGATATTGTAAAGTGCTGAAAATGCACCCATCTGGGTACACAAACATTGGAAAACCGCGCTCACTGGAAACGTGGAGCGGCTCCCAGGTGAACAATTGTTTGATTTGGAGTATGCTGGCGACATCGCTCACAAACGTGCCAAGCAGCATTAGACAGATTAGTACTGGCTGCCAGACGTTTCAGGCTTTGTTTTGCACCCTTAAAGTGCAAAGCTTTCCTCCAAGATTGGCAAGGACCCACCCCTGCGTTGACCCTTGGTGGGGATCATAGAGAAGTCGTTCTGAACTTTAACTGCCCATGCAGCTGCATCAGTACCTGTGGAACCGAAGACGAGGTCCCAAACCGTATGACACGGGGCGCTCTTGCTGACCTTCGTCACCTAAGGCCTCGATGCGACATCACTGTCTCCCTGAAGGGTAGAGTGTATCATGCATCCGTGCGTTCGACCCTACCCTACGGTTATGAAAGTTAGTCCATTAGATGGGCATTTGTAAAGAGGCTAGTTACGTTCCACCACTGGTGCCTTCGCAATTTGGCTCATATCTGGTGGGAACATTGTGTGAGCAATGGGCGTTTTCGGCCTAGGAAGAGGAAGTAAACCGCTCAGCACCTCTATCTCACTCTGCGAGTTCCGATGACTGAGCCATGTGTTGCGCATGCGCACCTTGCGTTTTTTGCGCGTCCGGAGTGGGGATGGAAGAAGAGAACGAGAGGCCCATTGATGATTTGGTTTGTTCAAAGCTGGTCTCTGTTGGAGCCTCTCGGCTCCATGGTTGGGGCTTCAAAGACGATAAACACGTTTGGCTTGATACACTGGTTGTTATGGCTAGGAGCCGACTTCAGTGGTGTTTGTGTTGTGAGTTTCTCTGTCACTCCTCGTTCCGCTTAGCTTTCTCCTACAACCACAATCTCATTTCGGACATATTATATAACTTTTGCGACAAGATAACCGGATGCTAACTCCCAGGAACGATGTCCATCCGTTAATAATGGCTTAGCTGGTGTGACTTTGTTGCGTTTTTCTCATTTATTGCACCACAGTAGCTGAGGTGTTTCTCCTTCTACCTAATGTGTATACTGATAATTATGATCATGTTTACAAGGCTCTTTGTGTCGGTTTCAATTTCGCTTGTTGTTCTAAGTGGACTGCATACAAGATTAATGTGACCCATTGAAGTTACGACACTGTTAAATCGGTCGATTTCCAGTGACACCAATGTTATCAGCTACATCATTCCACTTAAAAAATCCCTATATCTTCCCTTTTTAGACATTGCATTGGTTCTTCAGCCCTGTGAATTATATACTGGACAAATTGGAAGGGGTTCTGCTCTTACTCTTACCGACGTCCACGCGGAAGCTGTAACTATGGTACCGGGCTTCTCAGAAACACATCCACCACGGATTTCTCTGTTTCAAAAACATCACAAGCTTTACAGATTGTTAGATTCTTCTTCTGTGCATTTTCAACTACCTTTTCTGTCCGCCTACTTGTCAAATTGTTTGTCTTGACCTACGCCTCACTGGCATAAACTCTATGTTCAACCACAAGCCTTATCGTAGTTCTCATTCCTCTCTAAGGGATTGCGCATCCTTGTTCATTCGTCTGCTATCGCTGAGTTGCTACCTGAGGAAATTGGTCTTTTTTAAAATACTACACAACAGGATACACATCCGTGATTTGTTTACTGGACGTTGCATCATCATGAGCCTATGTCGCCAATCGCCACCACCCCGGGCGTTACCCGTCCTTATCTTAGACAGCCATCAAACGCTATGCGAAATACACAGTTAGACAATTGTACTGATCGGAATCATTGGCCGATTCTTCAAAAATGGCTCTTGTCCCCCAGATGCACAGAGGTTTCAGCCTGTTAGTTGAATATAACGCGATCGTCGTTGCGTTGGTCACATATGTACTCTTTGTCTAGGGTTAGAGCAGAGACACGCTTACAGACGACGGATTATTGTTGCTCTTTTGATCTGAAAGGCGCCCTCGACTCTATTGATCGTGCCGGCTTGCGGTGCCGACTGTCCGTGGAAGTAGGGTCATTATGTAGTCTGTCTGCCTTGGCTCCTCGGTCCCCCACGACTAACAGGACTCACTAGGGTCGTTCCACATTTCTTTTCTTGTTCAACTTTGTGGTCTAGAATGCAAGTTCTTCCAAGTGACCAACTAGATTTTGAGTATGTAAACAATCCAGCGGTTATGCAAGCGTCTTTGAGTAGTCTGACGCATAGTGTCACTCGTTTCGCCATGTCCGTGCGAAGTACCGTTGCGCAACTGCGTCGACATGCAACAATTTTTGCTACCACCGGAAAGCCACTAAGCGTGGTAGATCAGTTCACTGATATTGGTAGTTGTTTTACCTTTGATAGTGGTAACAGTAAAGAAGCTACTTTGCTTGGGCTTTTTACGAGCTTAACCAGTTATAAAAGCGATAGAATATCAGCTTATCAAAGGCAAAGCACCGATATAAGACCGAGATTACAGTGTGGATGAAAGACCTGGCCACCGCGTTGACAGTCTTACGGGGTATTGCTCACATCTGGGAGGAACACAGGAGGAATAATACTGAAGTCTGCCAGTCGGTTATTAGCTAAGGCATCAGCACACAATACCGACGCTTCGCTGCCGCACAACCACCATTAGTCGCATGTGGGCTAGGGATACTGCGAAGGTTGCCCGGTCCCTACGCAGGCTCGAACCCGCACCGTCAGATTACAAGACTAGCTTGTTACCTTTAGACTACGTGCCGGCCGGTTATTAGCAAGAAACCGTCTGAGTGTTTGCTTAAGCTCAACTGCTTGTATTTTCCGTATCCCCGTTGATCGGCTTCCTCGGCGTGTATGAAATACTGTTTCTGCATCATGAGGTGACCAGTCATTGATGTGACACAAAGGATTTGGTAGTGCGGTCTTGGTGGATGGGAGCCCTTGAGATGTGTCACTTCAATGGTTAGAGGAGACACTGTCGGGCATGGCACAGTTAGTGGTGTTGCTGCAATTGGTTTCTTGAATCTAACTGTTGGTATTCTATTCTGACTATACGTTCTACCTCACGAGTTCTTTATTGTTACTTTGACAAAGCGAGTGTGGCAACCGAACCCACGGCGCTGCGGTAAGTCATAGTTGTTTAACTGAACTAAACATGTGGCGTGGAAGAGAGCAAAGCTCATCGGAAGTATAGTTGGTCGGCCGGTGGCCGAGTGGTCTGCGCGCCTGGCCTGCAACCATAAGGTCACGGGTTCAAATCCGCGTAGGGGTGGGCGTCCTCGCGGTATACCCAGCCCACACGCGACTACTGGTGGTCGAGTGGTAGCGAAGCGCCGTTACGGCGTACAACTGGCAATTTATTTATTTTATTATTTGGTCACATTTCTGCCACCGGCGAGGCTGAGCATCTGATAGCATGCAATTATCCAACAAGCTGTTTGGGGAAATAGCGAATTGATCTGCATGGCAACTAATTCTGCAATTAGTATCACGAACGCTTTACAAGAGGAACAACGACCAGAAGTAGACGCGCATTTTCAACAAATGAGTGGCGAGTGTTGGCGAATGCATCAGCGTAGCACAACTGAACAATCATCCGTAAAGAAAGTAGTAGAAGTGGATCATGTTGATAAGTGTATGGAGCTTTACCGCTTATTTGTCGACGCTCCTCTTGATCCCGATTGCACAGCGCTCCATTCAGCTTCGCTGAAGCCCAACATTTCAGGTTCCTCGGGAGCCATAAGGTTGTTTTCCGCCCGACATTTCAGATAGGCCGCTGCTTTTAAACGGCATGCAGTGTTAATCCACTTGTTCTCCGACATGCATTGTGTCCACTGAAGCATCACGGTCTTGCACACTCCTTTTCTATCCAATGGAAAGCTTCCTTTCAGCGGCGGCTCGACTTGCATTGGCCGACTCGTGAAACCTGTAGAAGCCGCCATGATGAGATCGAGAGAACAGTACCACTCTGGAATGGAATGCGAATACGTAATTATAACATTGTCAAAAGGCAAAGCACCGAATTACTTCTCAGCATAGTTTCTGTAGATTATGCACACATGGTTAGTGAATTCGCATGTGCCCTAGTCCACGATACAACATGGAAAAGGGAAGCAGGCCATTATGGATCCCCAACATTTAATATGGCCAGTCGGAAGGCCTCTGTCAATGATGGACAGCTCACTAAAACGACGGGACCGCCTGCACTTCGGATGGTCACATTACGCCGCTTTTTCCGCCATTAACGGTCCATATTTATGAAAGTTGAATTAATAGAAGTTTCTTCGGAAACGGTAAGGGTCGCAGTCCAGCAGCGAGTTGCACCGATACGCTTCTATGGCTTCCGAAACATAAGCAGGTCTAAAGCACAATCGATGGTCACGTAATTCACGGGTCTGGCTTATAATCCAAAGGTCGCAAGTTCGCCCCTATGCAGCCGCGGGTGACCTTGCAGTATCCCTGATCTGCGCGCGACTAGTAGTGGTCACGTGGCAACGTAGCATCAGTACGACGTACCAGCGTACTGCTGATGTCTTGCCTTCAATGAGCCGACGCCTAGGAATTGACACCTATGGGCACTCATGTTTGTGATGGATCATCTAGGGAGTAAGATCAGATCATGCGACAAACATCTGGGCACCCAAGCGGTATCTGGTTTACGAATATGACTTCTTCTGAAACCTATCAGTCTGGAACCTACGAGGAACTTTTGTAAAATCGTCAACACCTAACGAGTACGGTGAGCTGGATAAAGTAAGATATCGGAGCACAGAGCATCCGTCTCGTGAACCGATGTTGAGGGAATCACACTTCCGGGTTTAAGTAGACGAATTGATCACTGAATCAGGCAGTTCATCGAAATACAAGATTGCGTCCGATCATTTAGATCAGAAGCTGCGGCCGCTCGTTCAGTGTGCTACAGTGTACTATTCTCCTATACTCCCCCACGATAACCTTAATCTACCGAGATATTTTTTCTTTACCTTGTGACGAAGCGGCAATCTTAGGCAGTCTTTATTTAATTTTTTATGCCCTGATCAAATCGAATTCGGCATATTCTGACATCGGAAATTCGTTTTGTCGATTACCGGCCGGTGGCCTGCGCATCTTGTTTACAACTATAAGGTCATCGGTTCGAATCCACGTAGGAGTGGGCCTCCTCGAGATATACTCAGCCCGCGCGCGATTGATGGTGGTCACGTGGCAGCGAAGCGCCGTTACGGCGTACAGCTGACACTACTTTATTACCATTATTTTGCCGATCGTTTCATTCGCTTATGTCGCACATGTGTATCACGTGGAGTTAAACCATCGAATGATACTTTCGTTTGTGACACAGTATACAACTCGGAACAGGCGAGGCTGTACGCGCGATCCATCTTACCAATCTATAAGGCTTCTAATTTGAACGGCTGAAAATACTGGCTTCACATGTGTTCGATGTCAAGTTGACAATGTAGGTAAGTATACGCAGGTTTATTATCAGCGCTGCAGTCTCGATAAGTATGCTCTATCTCGCTATTGTGACAGGTTAACATTCAGCCACACGGTACCCCATTCGGATCCGTCGCTAGTTCGGAATGCCCCATCACATCAATGCTCATTTCCGCCCTATGGAAGTTTACAAATGATCCGTATTCTAACACTATAAATAGGATTCCTCAGGTTCTCTGTATTATGCCTGCGAGTGACAGACGACGACAGGTAAAGCCTACAGATGACTTCGCGTTCATAACCAAAGTTAAATCACGACCGCCGATATTGCTTCATCGCCACCTTTCAGATTATTGTACATTTCTACAGTGACTATCCTTTTTCCAATTCGAATTATCAATAAGATCCACCAAACGATTAACGTGTTCCAAGCAGAAGTTGTCAATTGGCATCCCATACTGCGGAAACGCATCGCATGATTTCCGTAAGCCAAGCGAAATGGGGCAACGCGAGAGTGAGCGTAATGCGCGACGCGGACGATTCAGCCCCGATGACAACAGTGCATAAAGTTATACGAGGCGCATACCACTTCTCCGCCTCCGAACACCTGCCGTTCTCTTAATTCCTGGTTTGCTGCTGTGGGATATCCGTCGTAAAGAGGCTGAGCTGATGCGACGATTTGCGTACCTCATCGATCCATTAAGCTATACTAGGTTGGTCCTTCTGTCCCCTTGAGTGTTACTTCTACCAGGTTGGTCAATTGTTAGAAATCAGACAGACTCAGTCTTCTGGTCCTCCAGGTTGGGGGCTGAAAATGGCGTCCATTTGTGTTAAATCGGCACGTTGCCATCCCCCCGCTGCGTTGCGGAGAGGCTTTTGAGCCCAAGGCTTTTGTTGAGGACTCCAAGTGTTCTCTCTAGGTTTCGGCGCCTTAACGGTACCTCAGCCCACGTACAATCGTGGTGTTGGGGTCAAAACACGGTGTTCCTCTCGTTTTGAATGGCCGTGTGTACAAGGCCACAGTGAGAGCCGTCCTCTCCTATGATAGTGAGACTTCATGTCTTCGGCTTGGGGATACAAGGCGCCTTCAAGTGTTTGATCATCGCTGACTACCGAGCATTGCTGGCGTCGGATGGCACCAGCATGTCCGCGACGGTAATGTACGTAGACAATGCTAATCAGGCTTATTTCTTGGAACAGCAGATAGCACTGAATAAGTTGCGTTGGCTTGGACACATACTAAGTATGCATAGTCACTGTTTACCGAAGAGGACCTTGTTTACTAGATAAAGGATGGTGCAAGGCTCGAGGCGGACAGCAGTCAATTTGGCAACGGGAAATAAGGCCAATGACTACAAAACTGGGCGCCGTCTGCCCGTCTCCCCTTCCAAGCTGGAGTCCACGTGACTCACCTTGTGCCTGGTTTGAAACTTTACAGGACATGTCTCGCAACCGACATCAGTGGCGCGTCTGCTGCCGTCTCCTAGTCGGATTGCCTGTTTAAAGCGCGTTTGGTGCTGAGTTATCTTCGCGGTAATGTCTGATTATGACGCGGGGAAATGAAATCCGCAAGGAAGCTGTCTCGTTGATGCCGACTTAGCTTTACACAATAGTCAGCTGTTCATGACTGTATGTTTTGACACGTGTGGGCGACTTGATCCTTAATGTTTGTTTAAGGCATTAAGATTTTACGTTAGCTCCCCCACTTAGTATTCTACGTTCCGTGGTTGTACGGCAGCGAATCAGCTGTTCAAATGTCTGATGTGCTGCTACTGCTGCTGTAAGATGTTCACTTTCCTGTGCTGCATAAAGTATTTCCTTCATTGATTGGAGGGAGATTTCGAAGTAGTTTCGGATGGGTAACGCCCAAGTTTCTTCTACTTTCTTGTCTCTTTCCACTGATGGTAAAGAAGACAATGGCATTATCAACAAATCAGAGGGAAACGGTAATGAAGAGAGTAGACACGTGTATTATTTACAGCTCGATGGGCAATATAGACAAAGAATATAAGAATAGGGTTCGTGAATTTTTAACGAAATTCTGTCACCGAGTCGGATATATGTTGGAGATCTCGCGATCAGGATCGCGTGTCCAACAACTGACATTCACTGGGAAGAATCAAATCATGAGCGATCGAGAAAAGTACAGGTTTGATCGATTTCGAGTTAGAACGCTGCGATTCCTTGATGTTCCTTTTGGTGCTGAAAAGACGAAGAACTAGGTTAGTAAAACTCGAGCGGACGCAACAAATTTGATGAACATCGTCGCTCAGAAAGAATTGTGGAAGAATAAATGTGGACAGGGCTGCTTCAAAGATCAATCAGAGGCGTCTAATGCCCACTTGCAATCGGTGCGAACTACAAACAAATAATCGAGTTGTGTCCATATTTTAGACATCAAATCGCAGTTATCTGTCCTACAGGGACGAGCGTTTATACGGTAAAGTCAAATCAGAGGAAAACGGCACGTTTGACTAGCAGAACGTCTCTGTATACTATTGTCCATGCAATTCCATAAACAACGGTCTTTAATGGGCCGATGAGGTTCTCCCTATGACTCAGTTAGACAAACGATGAGGAAATCAAATGAATATTGGCCAATCAGCGTCCAGTAATCGAGTCCGTCAAGTTCGTCTCCCATCTACTAACTGTGACAGGACACTAAGCAGCTGCAAAAGACAAAAGCGCTTAGCTGTATCTAACTTAAAGGAAAATAAATGAAGCACATAAGCTACTGATGTGAAATTTGATCTCTCGGTCCCGCATCATTGAAGAGGACCGCCAACAAGAAGCAATAGCGAATGAGAGACACCGATCAACAGGGTCACATAGATGTGATGCTAGGAATATCACGGTGATGAGACAGTCACAGTTACGGGCGGGAAGGAGTGTGCTAAGTAACCCATAGAGACCATTTCGAGAAAGTTTTGAAACTACAAGCCTGTAGAATGCGATTCAGAGCGTCACGCATAACGTCGGCTATGCTGAGAGAGCGGGGTTAAGTCGTCGTGATCAAACTTAAGCAACTTTTGGAACTACGGAATTTTCGATCTTTCCTCGCCGAACTTCCAACTAGGCCATACACTTTCTGACCGATTGCAATAAATTGGCTGAGAATAACACCGCAGAGGGATCGCCACCTTATGGGTAGATGGAGTAAGCTAAAACAGCATGTGACTGAAATGCATGAGATGTTTTCTGAGGCCATGGAAGAGTTTGGTTTGTCACTATAGTACATGAAAAGGGAATCAACATTGACTACTGGATTCGGCCAATGACCGAAAAAATTACGCTAAGACATTGTAATCCCGAGGTCACCGTTTTGAATTCGCATTGTCGCAAGTGACCTCGCAGTACACCAATGCCCAGCGCGATTTGTGGTCACATGCCAACGAAGCATCAATACGATGTGTCAGCGTACAGACTAATCACTGAGTTGTCATCTGTCCGAGAGAATTTAAGAACCTCTCGGAAGAAGCATTACTTCAGTGATTAATCGATTGGCGTCGGTTACGAACATTCTGTCATTTTACGCACAATGCCTCGAATATTTTCTGGAAAAGTATCACACCACAGATTTAACAGTTGTCCTTCCTGTAATAGAAGCCGAAGATCACTGGACGATTTATGTATGCGGCTATGGTCTATCATTGGTATCGTGTTTTGGTGGCGTATAGGTTAATGAGTTATTTCGTCAAAGTCTCTTGATTTCCCTTCGACTGGGCTAAAGGTCCTGCGGAGCACTTGAGTGTTTCATTCGACATAGCAAACAAATTGGAAGATCCCAACATCATCTATCCGAATCAGCCACTCCTGATAACCAGCCGCTAAGTACTCGCATTAGTTAATCTTTGTGAGTCGAGGCAGAACACACAATTAGACTCCGATTGCTCTCGCACGTACAGTGGCTATCCTGCCTATATTGGCCAAATATCAAGCGACAAGCACCGCTTGTTTAATGGATGAAGACATCGACAGAAAAGCCAAACATACTTCCCCCTGACTGACTTCGGTTTAGTTTACAGATCTCTAAGATAAGTTAGTAGATTCTATACTTCCAGATATGGTTCTGGTTATCAATCTCCAGACCAGGAGATTGGCAGCCAATAGAAGTCAAATAAAGCATTTTTATGGATTGCTCGCAAATGTCGCTAAGTGTTAGGGTCGGTTCCATTGTTTAAGTATCGCTGCTTGGCACCTGCTGACAGAATAATTCGCAAAAGAGTTAGAACAAACATTCCTGGGGCAGAGCAAACTCACAATCTAACTGTCCATGCACTACGTTAGCCGACGGAGTACCGGTGCGTGCATACCAGGCCGGTTAACGAATAGACGAATCCAACCCTTCACATGGGCCTGGTCATCGAGGCGGATTTGAGAAGCCAACCGGCTAAATGCAACGTGTTTCGTTCGTCCGTGCGCACATATGTAGGAACAGTGTAGGACGTAAGCAAATCGATGTCCTTTGTCCATGTGATGCTACCTACATGTGATCGGCCCATCAGATATGTACAGTAAGGATACACACTCGGGGGTGACCTACATAACTGCGAGGAAAACGATTGAATAAACCGAAAAGCATTTACAAAAATTGATCGTTGACAAAGTGTCGTTATAGGAAATCGACCATCCGATTTATGTAACCAGTGAGATCAGATTGTTTGTCCGTTGCCAGGCGAAGATCAGTTGAGTTGCAATGGTCGACAGTTCCTATGTTATTATATGTTTCAAGCTACTAAGTGAATGATGCGGAATAAGGTAATACAATCCACTATGGTTTGTTACTCTGAATTGTACCCAGTTGACTGCGGCACAGGTCGGAGATGATTTGATCCATATGGTAGTGCAGTATAACCCACGGGTAGTGGGGCAGACAGATGTGTGAGAAGAGTATTTACGCCAGTCAGCTTTGGAGTTGCGGAGTCAACCAAGCTGGCGAACAGAAATTTGCATCTACATGCTTCGATGCGGATGCACATAGAAAAAGGATGCATTACTCAAGTAGATAACTGGCTGAAAGGCTAGTGCCCATTGCCCAGTGGGAGGAGCAGGCGTAAAATGTCCCATTTACAAGACAAAGAAAGAAGTGTACAACTCAAATAGACGAATCAGATGATTTCGAACAAGCAAAAGAATTAGACAAAGAGAGTTTTCCGCCAAGCTTGAAATCGAACAGAAGTGAAACAGAAGCACCAACACAATGCCATAGATCCCATAAAACAACTACAGAAAGCATTAGACTAGGTTTGGTCGATTCGACTAACTCAGCGGAGCTGATTGAAATTCTACAGTGTACTACTAGATGACCATCGACGTAAGTTAATGAAATACAGCGGAAGAACAACTCACGGAAAAGGAAGCTTAACATCAGGATTGCAAGTTCGAGCGATCGTGGAGGACGCGAGCACGAAAGTCCTTCCTGAAGAGAAAAGAGCCAATAAGGAGGAACGAATCAACGGTGGTTTTGTACTGTAGACATTCCCGCTTCAGATAGAGACCGTACAACATTGAGTGTGGCTGGCGCACACAATGGCTGCACAGTTGGAAATTGGCACATGGGATCACTTACCTGAAGGAGGATATATTGGACCTTATGCAACCTGAAGTAGAACGAAATGAGTGAGGATCAGAAACCTGGTGGTAAAGTCATGTCATGCAGTTGTTATTCGCAAAATGGACTGGCGGGAATGGGATTACGTTTCGACGAGAAGAAAAAGGAATAAACCAGGGGACAGGCGTGTTGAGGAGGTGATTTCGCTGACATCGATTAGGTTAGCCAATTTTAGACCAGGAACCGCGATGCATTGGGTCCTATTGCCATGACTCGCACCACCGCGACGAAGACTTCAACTACAGTGCACTGAGTAGGTTGCGAAAGCAGAACATAACCAGCTACCCTTTGTGTGTAAACATCTGATTCCATCGTATCGCGTCGAGACTGGATCTTAGCAAAACGCAACATGTTGAGTACCGCTTCGACACAATGAGCCATTCTGGATGCTGCCCACAGATGCTTTGAGAGCTACTCATGCTAGACTGGCTATTAGGTGAAAGTCAAAGGGACTTAGTCTCCCGGCACCGTATGCTGACGATCGGAACTAGGGTACTAAACATATGCGTGAAAATAGCTCACCTAATGCACCGATGCCTCATCTAGGTTATCTTGCGTGTGGGATTTCGAATCAAGTGATTTAGATGAGGAATAATCACGCTCCTACACAGATTCGGAAACATATAACCGCCATTTCTGCAGCTAAGCCAAACCTCAACTTGCATCCGTCAATTTATCTGCTGCATACAGCAAGGAGTTTAACCATAGTATCATAAAACACGGGCCAACAAATTGCACCTGCGCGCACACTAAACATTATGAGTGTTGGCATGTGCTGTGCGTTCGAAACTAGGATCAGTGACCAACACCCTGCTGTCGCACCAACTACGCCGAACTTGTGCTCACGCCGATGCAATGAACCCGCCTAAAGATGCAGCGGGCAGCATCCTTAATGCCAGAACTGAGTCATCTCTATTTGACTGCATTTCCATACACAACTGATCAGACGATATCGACTATGGTTAGCGTAAGGAGCGGCACCAGTTGTTGCATGTTTGTGGTTTCTGCTTAAGCCCCACTCTACTGACTGAGTTTTGATGGTCCCAAAGTGATCTTCCATTGTAAACGTAACGAGCCACTTCACAGTGTTGTCAGTTGAAATATTGTTCTAGTTGCAGGGGATGTAAACGCACAAATAGGTCATATGAGATTCACAAAAGCCCAGATGGGTAGGAGGCTTGGGCCTAACTCCGAACGCGTGTGTTTGTTACAACTGTTCACCGAGTCTTCAGACACGTGTCATTCGGTGTCCCCCCGATTGCCGAGGGTTGGTGCACCCAGCCAGAACACGTCGCTAGATGGTGTGGTTCTAGTTCTGACTATGGCTGATTATGCGCATGCCCTGATGTGCTGTCAATTAGCACTAAATTTTGCCAGAAAGCATGCAAACAATTTTGTCTTTGCTTTCGGCCAGGCGAGCTTACCTTGAATGCTCGCGTACTGGGCTTTCACCCCATTGATCCGAGGATATATCAAGGTTAAGTAGCATAGCATTTCCGCTGTCATGCACAGTGAGGAAGCTTCAGCTTACGGTACAAACAGACAACAACGCACTCGACAATGCATTTCATTTGGGTACGTGAGTCTTCTGGATAATGGGCCAAGATGGCTCAATAAGTGTGGACTAAAACGGAATTCATGATCTAGAAATGAATCCTGGTTGACTAAAAGGGCTCGAAAGAAAGGAGGGCGAGCAGTGGGCAATTACCACGAATTTCTCTAGATAATCGGCACCAGTGGCCTCAGAAACTTGTCCGTGGGTCAGAAAAGCAAAGCAAAGCTCATGCGACCCGCTCCTTAAGTGTCTGAAGAGCTTACAAGACATGGCCGGAAAGCAAAACGCGTTTTATCGTTCGTTTCCCAGAATGAATGTTTAAAGTGTGCAAGCAGAATCAGTAGGCATGTAAAAGTGTTGATCATACGACGGAAAAGTCGCAAGTAAGCTGTCCCCTCGTGGTGACCAAATGCTCATGGTCGTCTGTTGTGGACAAAGTAAAGGCGATTTGAGCGCAAATGCTTCGTCATCCGTCGAAGTTACATCATTAGTGCAGAGAAATTAGAGTTCGCATAGCAGAAAAGAGTGGAAAGCGAATTTGAGTATGTATGTAACCAGCAGCCTGTCCACACCTTAAACAGGCTTTTGATGCCATCAAACTTGACTTGTTCTGAGTGGCTCCTCTTTGTGCTCTCATTTGCACCTAGGTGATCATCATAGGCTGTGTTAATTTGGCAGTATGATTGGTGATAAAACGTTTGTAATCAAATCATTCAGCTCGACGATCAACGCACCAAGTTAACGACCAAACCCACATACCAGTATTTCGTCTAACCCTATCTGGTTAGGACATTTAGGTCTCATAGTAAATGAATACTTCTTCCTCACCTTCTCAAAAATTTGCATAAATAAGGTAATTATGGTTTTATGGCAGTAAAGCACCAGTTCAAAGCACTGATGTGGTTGTGGCGGCAGGCAGAACAAACACCTGCTACGTGGGATACAACGGAAGGACAAAAGTGATATATGGTTCAGTAGAGTAAGGTCAATTTTCTACTGTGCGTAAAGCTTTGATTCCATTTCGGGCAAACATTATCAGACAGACGCAACGAATAAGTTCTACTCGATCCATGGATGAAAACACTCGTGCTAACGTAGCCAGGAAGATATTTCAGTTCAACGCACTTCGGTTAAGCAAACGTGATCCGGACAACGAAGACTGATGGATTCAGTAGAAAAATGAAAGACATCAGCAGTACACCGGAACGCAGTACCGAGGCTTCGCTGCCGCGCAACTACTAACAAACACACGTGGACTGAGGATACTGCGAGGGTCGCCCGGTCCCAACGCAGGCTCGAACCCGCGCCCTTAGATTACAAAGCAGGCTTGTGATCCTTAAACTTACTGCCCGGATTTTAAGGCTACGGGACGGCGACTCAGTTGAACAACACATATTGCAAAATAACAATAAATAACAACTAAGAAAACGAGGTTGAGTACAAAAAGAATACAAAGAACGGATTTTAAAACAGAAAAGCACAAGACAAATCGGGATGAGATAAAAAGTAACAACTAGGTGCACGGAAAGAAATGCAGGAACGCCACTGACTGCCCGACTGCGCCATCTCAAACAGGGTCTCCAACCATTGGTGGGGACCATCATCCCGGGGCCTCATCCACGAAGACGAAACGCACCAACCTAACCAGGTCTCTCAGTCGATCTTGTCATGCTTGTAAGTCTGATCGTAGACTGCACATCTCGCGGTTTCGCCCAAATTGGTGCAGTCATGGCATATAATGCATGACGATGTGGTCGGTCAACGGACATACGGAGAACATATTCTAGCCAAAGTAAATGCACTTTTCGAAAAAGAAAAAAATAGAAAAAATGGGCCCAGGAGGGAGCAAATGCCCGGTTGCGTATTGAAGTGTCAACATCGCAAACGAGTTACGATGATTTCATGAAAAGATTTGATCGACCTTTTAAGTTATTCGAGCGCAAAGGGACCAGAGTCTTGCAAATTGGTGTATCGACTCCCAGCGTTGTAGTGTCCAGAGAGAGCATACGTGCAGCGGGTGTGGAAATGACAGGTTTGCGACTGGTGGTCTTCTTTCCCTTACTTCCCGTAACATCAAGAGATTGAGTCCTGTCTCTGTGTGAATATTGATCATCGGCTGACAACATCATAGAACATCTGGATGAGGCCAAGAAGCGCGGAAATGAGTCTGTTTTCATCAGTCGGTAAACCTAAATAAAAGAAGAATTCGAAAGATAGTGACTGACAGAAAAGTCATGTCTTGGAGACCAACGCACCGTGTATATGAATATCAGCAAAGATAAATGTCTTGCATACAGGAACATGTCTAGTTGAATCAAATCGTATCAACAATAACTTCAAACGATATCCTACGATTCCACCAGATGACACAGTATATTTGCAGCTAGAAAATTCATAAAAACAGAACGAATGTATTTGGTAAACCTAAATACAATGGTGCGAAATCTATAGAGCCTTCTCGCAACTGAGAAATACGCAGTCTGTTACAAATTATAATATAAAACCTTCCCAGCGGCGAGGCTGCAAATCCGGTTCACCATTAGCCCAATGGTGAGACTAAACGTCAAGGATAAGCTGCTTGTCCACACCAAGTCAATGTGTGTTTACTCCTTTAGCTGTTCCTGTGTAGCAGGCTACGTTGGTCGTACGACAAGACGCTTATCCGAAAGGGTGAGGGAACACCATCCGGCATGGCTCGGGAATGGAGGTCAAAAGACCACCAACTCTGCCATCGCCGCGCATCTTGCGGATACGGGTCACGCCACCAAGTCGACTGATTCGTTCGAAGTAATCTATCAGGCCCCAGAAAACCGATCAAAGTATTTCCGTAAGCGAATATTAGACGCCGCAGAAGCTATCGCCATTCGGCTGTACGAACCACCACTGTGCACGCAGAAACGGTTCAGTCACGCGTTGAGTCTACCTTGGCCAGGACGGACTGCAGTTGACCTGTACGCGCGTGAGACTGCAACTGGAACCTGATCGACGGTTTGTCATAACGCACTAGGATCAATTTGGCTGACTGACGACCCGTTGGGTCTGTATACAAAATTTTGTATTTCATGTAATTGTAAAAACCTGATGAAGAATTACCAAAAACATATGTTCACGTACACAGATTTTTGATAAAACATCGAGTCAAACAGTGCCACTAGAAAAGCCAATCGGTTTGAATCGTCAGGAGCAACATTAAGTGCTCACATCGGAAACGTAATTTCCTCTGCGCGCAACCATCGTACGATGATGTTCGAGAAGGCAATAATTTGTTTGAAGAAGCAAACTGATGGATGAGAGACTGCGACAGGATAAACACTTTGATAGAGCTCAGGAAATGGCCTACGGGATGGTAGAGTGAGAGTAACCACCACAGCTGAACGCGTTGTGTATTTTGTGGTTCAGCAGTACAGTGAACGACAGCCTATAGCATCCTCAAGAGAACCCGAACCCTATACCGCACCAGCGTAAATTGAGTCTCCTCGGGTCCTTCTGAATGGTCGACCGAAAATTGTCTGCAAATGTGCTAGCCGGGAGAGTTGTGCAACTAACTGTCGGCGCATCATTCAAGTGGGACTCATCGTGCACCTACAATGTACGGGAAACACGAGTGAACCTGTGGAATTGCATTGTAAGAATTTCACATTGCAGTACCTCACTAGTCGGTCCGTGGGCACAAAGTACGTAGATAGGGAGGCACTAGCCAGTAACCAATGTGTTGCCATATAGGCCATATCACTGCCGCCGATCAATGCGACGACAAATGTGTCGTCACCAAGGTTGTTTTCCGGAGAAGTGCATTTATTTTTCCTGTAAATAAGAATAGTTTAGCATATATATGCTGCGGTTCTGTTGCTACACGGCACAGTGCCCCTAAAAATACCAACATGAGAAGTGAGTAGAAACATGTAGACAGGAATATCTGAGACCTATATGGATTAAGCCAAATGTTGCGAGATACCCAGGATGATATCAAGTTATCAACCCGCAAATAATGACACGAGGTGCTTACGCATTACATGTGGGTGAGACAACCACGTGTGCTGGTTTCTTCTACGCATGGTTTATGTAGAAAGAGAGGGAGAGCCCAAACACAAATAAGTCGCCAGTGGTAATAAGCAAAGGTGGAATGAGGCCATTAGTGTCAGTCACTATATCCGGTCCTAGCACCAGTGCACCGAGTGGAGTATTCGTGGCATCGACCGCCAAGATGGGCCCCAGTAAACAATGGCTACGTAACGAAAGTGGTGAATCGCTCTACGAAACGCTGAGTTAAACATCAGGTCTGACAAAAGCATAAATGAGCCAGACCAACGACCTTCTCTACAGCCGAATCGCAACCTAGGGCTTTTTCAACACAAGCGCTTTTGCTGAAGCAGAACAAACTCGTTCGGGTTCAGTAACAACGCTTAATTCCATATACCTCTGCCATACATTGACGCTAGTTTTTCTATGAAGCCCTGGTTGTCCAGCAGCCAAGTAGCAAGTGTAATTGTCATTATTGCTCTTTAAGCAATCAATGCCGAATGTATCCACCTGGTCCGTCTATGCATCTCAAGCAAGATGGACACAAGGTGTCTAAAGTTGACTAATACTGAGCAGTATGTTTCGTTGGATGGTAGACGACAACTGTCGAGACGATGCACTGAAGTCCCAGTTTCGCTCATTCTGTTGGGAAGTGGTGGGTGAACGGTCGTAAAGTTGTATAATTTGATATGACAGCGATAAATGCGTTATAGTTGCGCGTAATGCAATAAGGCATCAGCAGTACGCCAGTACGCAGTATCAAAGTATCATTGCAACGCAACCACCACTAGTCGCACACGGGCTAAGGATACTGCGAGGGTCACCTGGTCCCGTACGCAGGCTCGAACCCGCGACCTCAGAGTACAAGGCAGGCTTGTGATTTTTGAGGTCATGGGCGGGCTTGAGAGAAATTGGGACACATGTCGAAGATCCAGTGAAATGCCGCCCGCCAGTTATACTTCAGTGGTGTGGATTATTAGCCCCAAAAGAGTGATACGGCCCAAAATGGTAAATAACGGGCCTGAAACTCGCCTCTTCATGTAATGAATACGGTCTGTGGGCAACCAATAGGTCTAATCACAAGCTCCCATACAATAAGAAATAATTTCGAAGCGCCCCAATTGTGTCTACGCTTCTTGGCGGTCCACTTCAACATTTAAGCCAATCGGTGCTGGTTTATCCGTTAGTCTTATTTGGGATGACTGTACATTTACGGTTAGCAAGAGTAGAGGAGGAACCATGGAAACAGATCGTGTACTGTTTAGAATATTCAGGGGGATCAGCTTTGGCAGACCGTGTACAATGCCACCCAGACACAAAAAGTTAGAGATCAAAGAAAATATTTACATTGTAGCTGAATTACAAATTTCATACAAAGAGGAGCAGTAGGGATGCGCCTCATGAATCACGTTAATCACTATCCCAAGAATATGCGAGTACCGCCTGGCTGTTCGTAACGGAAACTACGAAAGGTGGAACATTTCATTCAACAGCAGACACAGATAAGTGCATTTTGCCGAACATTATCATATCGCAGGTGTAGTACCCGAATTCACGTGTGACATAGGAATATAGGAATAGATATGTCCTGTCACGGACAAAACGCCAAAGGTATATAGTACACGAGAGCAAGTTACAGACAAGGGACTTGTCAATAATAGTTGAGTCTTGAGGACAAAGCCACTTGGTAAGTGCCAACAAATGAAGTGGAGGTTTATAAGGAAGAGTTTGCATCACACAACACCAATACCAAATGTTGGTGTGAACCAAAAGTGATGGAGAAAAGCCAGACGCGACGCAACGAATCAGAGTGTATGGGCCATCACACCACAGTACGGTTGAACGTCATCGGGTACAAGAGAGAATCTAATACAAGTTGGTCTATCATATCGTTTGGGAATGTGAGAATCGCAAGGAAGCTGATGAGAACAGATGGATGGAAGAATACAGAGATGATGAAGTTCTGCGTAAATAGCCGGGTTATTGGATTTAACTCCGTTTAGGGGATAGTGAAATATACCACCACACAAAGTGCAATATAGCTGAGCAATGCTAATCTATGACGCGCAGCATCGTTGCAACGGCCGTCAACACGAAAGCTGTCGTTCGTTATGTCCTAGGTGTAGTGAGGAGCTTGGTTAATTTCACTGTTAGGTGAAGTGAAATCAACGATGGCCGAAGTGAAGTCGACGAAACGGTCGCAGGTGGTAAAGCTGGCCAATAGTTCGCAGTCAACTCACTTGATTCTCTGCTTCGGAAAACATATCCCTGGTAGGACATTGCAGGTGGGCAGTTGCTTGCTTCACTGCAATGTCATCAACATTCACGGCATTCGGTGAACACGGATCGATGAAGTGAGAGAATATCCGTAAACATTCCGCTTTAACCTGCAAAGGTGGTGGATGAGATGCGAAGATTACACTAATCTCAAGGGAATTAAATATAAATGGTTACAGACGTGCAAACAAACAGCTCTAATAAGACAGAGCCATCTGACTAAAATTAACTGCATGGAGGAATGCTCGAAAACTCGATCCAGTTGTTCGAGTAAACATAGGTTAGGCATACTGTAGATGACGGATACTGCAAAATACAAGACTGTCTGACATCTCACGCTTGAGAGTATATCAGGTAGGTCCGAGAAGGAGGGAAAGCATAGTCACCAGAACATTGCTGGACAGTTGAAAACTCACATTCAACATGGGGAATTCGGTGCGCCATCTTCGTATTTCACGCCAGAAGTGGATGTTCTCGGCACTGAACTCAGAAGCCAGGAAAGCCTAAATCATTGGCAAATGTGATGGGAAAACGGGCTGTAATCGCTGAAAAGGGGGAAATGGGTATGCTCAAGCAAATATATTTCGCTAAGCTAACTAGGGCTGCATTTGCTACAAGGTTAAGTGTACCATCTTCAGAATAGAAAAATAAAGGTTAGACACTGTAACTGATGAATCCAAAAAAATTACACCGAATTGAGGACAAGCATGAAGCGTCGAATCCGCCAACAGCAACGGATAAACGGTGAAAAATTGCTTGATATGTCGATGTGATGTGATGCTGAATTAAAACGGGAAATGCTGTCTGTCATAGACAATTTAACTGATGAAATGCTATAGATTTCATCAAATCTATCACCTTGCAAACAAATATACTTTTCTTACACCGTCAAATGTACTTGATGAAAACTATAGTTGTCCACTTAGCGTGTTCGACGTCTTGTTTATGGCGCAGGAAGACTGAGTGAACCATTCAGCTCCGAGATTACACGCACCAGGCTCCGATGGTTCGGTCTTATGAACGCATGCCACTATGCAGACTCCCGTGGTGTGCGTTGCTTTCGCAATCGCGGTCTGGTTGGAGAAGAGATCAGCCGATGACTTAGTTTAGAGGAATGAAAGCTTTCGGTTTGAACATCGCCTCGGCTAGTGCATCCCGACTTCCTGTCTCGAGTCCAAAGGCGTTGAACATGTTCGGTTAGAGGCAGGTTTAAATGGTCAAGAGCCCACCTCAATGGCACTTGTGCCAGGAACTTCCCGCTCTGTCCTATTTAGACATCTCATTTTGATGCATAATAGAGCAAGGTACAATATGGTTTTTTACTATCTTTTGCTATATATTTACTAGAACTGAATTGACTTTATATTGCAATAAAATATTTGAAGGATTTTTCTCCTCTGACTACTCTGTGGAACTGCGAAGACGTCTACACCAGGCTCAAGTCATAGTCGCTAGGTAAGCACAAGTGGTACCGTCGTTCTCGGTGTACTTGTACGTTTAAAAAAATGCAAGGTATCAACAGTATGCCGGCACACCATATCGACGATTGGCTGTCACGCGTGGGCTGAGTATACGGCGAGATCGCCCGCGCCCATGCGGATACGAACAAGTGACCTTGGAATTACAAGGCTGGCGCGAAATCCTTTCGGTCACCGGCCGGCTTGAAATCTAAGCTGGGCTCACAGCGAAAGGGTGGATTTCATATTCTGTGGCAACGTAAAACACTACTGCAGCCAGAAGCCAAAGCGGATATATACGGGAGTACTTGTAAACAGACACAATAGTTGTAATTTTGTTAAGGCATTCATCCCAGTAGTTCACCAGCTACATAGCTTGTAACCCAGCCAACGTTCCACACGGCTCAGTGGCTTAAGCTACTGGCTAGTTGGCGTCAGCCACTAGCAGTCATTAGTTCGATCCCCAGTAGGGGACCGAGGAAATGCGCACCACTGACGATCCCCAATAGGGAGAAAGACGTCTGGTGCTTTTCCGGACCAGACTGTGCTATGTAGCTTGTGAACGACTGGGATGAATACTTAACAAAAGGACACAAGGGTTTCAAGAGAACAATTGCGAGAAAATTTCTTTTCGATGAATCTCGTCAGGCTCGTACATTTATGAAGCAAACAGCCAAAACTTACAGAGCTATTACTAGCTATATACAAATAAAAGGACGTCAGGTGGTAGGTGGAACAGTAAAATTGGGATGGAATTATGTACACCAATCAACATCAGATTCAAACAAGTCACGATGGACCGGTGGCCTTGAAGCCGGCTAATTGCGTGAGAGCCAGGGCAAAATTAGCGCTTGCAGGAGCCCTCTGCTTGCATAATTTCGGCTGTAGGTGTCTGATAGCAACAGCATCAGCTATAGTCAACAAGCGACTTTTGAGTCCCTCTGAGTATTGCTTCGGGGTAACAGAGAAACTTGGATAAGTCCTTGACACAGCATTAGTGCCCAGTGTTAATCAGGTGCTCACAGAGTGAACTATGGACACTCCACTGGATTCCATGCTGTAAGGAAGCAAGGCAGTGCTCTGCTATGCGTCGGGTGGTGTGTCCGATGTAATTAGCACCACAGGTGCGGGTGTACTGATATAGTGCGAAGGATTCGGACTCAACCGGTAGTCTAGCTTTGAGATGTTGCGTGATGAGAGGAGATGTTTCGGCAAGGACGTGAACTCGAGCTACCGGATACGTCTTATTTAGCGCAGAGGACAGCCTTCTAGTAAATAACTCGAAGTGGGGAACAGAGAGAAAGAGGTCTTTCTTTCTGGCTGTGAGCACAGATTCAGGGACGTCAGTAACTACGGAGTGCTTCTTGACAAATGCAGTAGGGTTATCCTTGCTCTGTAGAATCCTATGAATGAAGTCTTTTTCTTCTAGCGTCTGTGGGCTAAAACGTCTTGCGGCTCGATAGTACAAGTAACGTATAAGATATCTTGTATATTTCATAGAGGCGAAGCTGAGAAAATGGGTATATTGGTCAACCCAAGTTGTTTTTCCGTGTATGCTTCTTTCAAGCCACCTATCGCTACGGCCATTATAGCGGAACGTCTAGAAAAGCCAGTGCACCGCCGTTTTCCGTCTCGCAAGTGAATTTCAAAGAAGGGTGCGCACGGTTAAACTGGTTCAGTAGGTGTAAACGATCGGCTGTGCAGTCACAAACGATAAACGTGTCGTCCGTGTATCGTTGATACGAGTCAAAAGACGCGATAACACATCGGATGGGACCGCGTTCGAGTTTAGAAAAGAAAAAAACCAGCAAGTATGGGTCCCAGGAGTGATCCCATCGCAATCATCTATTTATCGATAGTATTGCCCGTGGAGCAGAAATTCTGTTAAAAGTGCAACGTAGAATGAGTTTCTTCAAGTTACACACTGGCATGTTGATGAGGCTGCTGTTTTCTATTAGTTGTTCATAGGTAAAAATTTACCGTTTCTATTAAAGGAACGTCAGTAAAGAGTGATTCAACATTAAGTGAGAGCACCTTTTTCTCCTTCACATGCAGCTTTTTTACCCGCTCAACAAATTCAAACGTATCCCACACAGTGTGGACAGATAATTTGTTGCGGAGTGGTTTGAGTAGTTCCACGAGCCATTTTGCAACTGCATGCACGGCGGAGCCAGACATGTGGATAATCGAGCGTAGTGGTGTGTTGGCCTCATGCACTTTGGGTAACCCATATAGACGAGGTGGTTGGGAGCCGCATCAGGTAACCGTTTGATCAATGTACTCTCTATATGCTGAGCAGGGTCTCATCTCGTGCAGTACTATCCTTTTGTACTGGATCCAACAAGAATTTACTCGTATCGACATATATTCCGATTTGTCCATTATAACCCAACCCGATCCTTTATCAGGCCGTGAAAGTAAGACATAAGGATTGGATATCAGTTTTTTGATAGCTTTTCGATGTTCGTTAGTAAGTATTTTTGAATACTGCGGCTTAAAGTTCTGATAACTTTGAGAAAGATGCACTAACGTAGTCCTGAAAGAGTCGTATGCGAGGGAAGAGGTTGGTGTCAAATCAGTTAGCTGGTGCATCAAATTTTCAAACTGCGTCTCTACAGGCAGCTCCTTCGTGCTAGGTTGTGATGCACAAAATTTTGGACACAGTGAAAGCTTCCATTTGCAGTTTGTTTAACTGCGCGCTGGAAAAATTGTGCACGTATCGTTCTGGGTGTAAAGGAAATCTCGCTTCGGGTACCTTCGGTTCACCAGCATTTAAATAATTAAGTATATTTTCGTTCATCCGCCTTAGTGCACACATCACGCATGCACCTCTGAAACGAGTCTCGTTCGTCAGCGTTCAGGCCTTCCACGGCTAGGTAGTAGCGTGCACAAACTTTTTCTAGCTCAGGAACATTAGACTAAATCTCTTCCAAAAAGTTGTACACATGTCGTTTTAAGGACTTGGTCGTGGGGCGAACGTGGCACCGTCTCCAAGAGTTCCAGTACGTCTTGGGATACTGATTGCACCGTAAGCACCCTTGCATGAAACGAATTTCTGTTTTCGCATCGGCAATCCTTGTGGTAAACTTCAAACACTTGTTGAAGTTGCTAAACGCAGCAGGCGACTTGCGCTTCTTTAACTCATAAATAATGCTCATTCAGACATCAAGAGAATAACTGTGAAGAAATTTCTTTTCAATAAATCTCATCAGGCGCGTACAACTATGAAGCAGATAACCAAAACTTACAAAGAGCGATTACTAGCGAAATATAAGCTAAGATTAATGTGGGTATTTTGGTTTCAAAAAGTGGCAATGCAAGAGAGGACGTAAGATTGCCCGGCTGCCTTAAGTTTCCGAGCTGGTCAGCAACACGTAGTTTCCTTAGTTTCGGCAGCAGGGCAGATATGTTGGGAGCATGGCCTGTACTTTAAGCACTGAACTATAGTAACTAAGCGTAATAGGAATGTCACGCAACAGGCCGTCCACAGGTCAACACGGGGGGACCATATGAGTTTACAGGTAGGCTACGAAACTAGTAACACCACCACAATTCACAAGATGGCAGTTAGATAACAGGATATGAAGGAGCAGTAAGACTCCCCAAACGGTGTCCATCTCTGTATTATTTCTTCGTCCCTCCCCATCCCACCTATTTTTCACTCCAACCAAGATCTCTCTTGAAGCACAATACGTTACTAAGCAGTATGCTATGATGTTACGTATCAAGCTTTGTGTATTTCGCCACAATATTTGATATGTGATGAGGATGATTATGCTGATGATGATGACTGTTCAGTCAGTAACAGTGCAAATGAGTGCGAGGAAGCACTACATAATTACACATGAACTCTCAGTAATGCTCACTCCATTTAGATGGTGCCCGAAACCGAGGAAACTCAAAATAGGAGTTCGATGGTGGCGCATGAGCGCAACTAGTTGTCGATGTTCACCATGGATTGACAGGATGGATTGGCAAACGGCAAGAACCTAACGGCCAGTTGGTGCGTATCCTGAAGTTCTTCTTGTCATCGGGACACCCCAATATCGATCTAGATGCCCACAATGCGTCGGTGAACAATATGTTTTGAGGAACCATGCAACAGTTTTAGGACACTGTGGAAAATGAACTGTGTGAGATATAACGGAAACAAGGCACAACAGCTCATCGAAAGGTGTACCTCGAAATTTTTTAACCCAAGAGGGTCAGCGAGCAACGAATCGAAATCCGTGTACAATGGGACCGTTCTAGAGGGGGAGGTAGAGATGGTGGAATGCTGCGACTCAATCGACGTAGAAGACCTGGTACGGATTCCAGTATGCTGTTTGGGGATGCCGATCGGAGTGACACAGACTGGCGTTGGTGTATCAGTGAGATTTGCAGATGTGGTTGCAACCGAGTGCCGCAAGGTTGATTTTGCCATGGATTTCGGATTCCTAGCATAAGGAGTCACTGGGGACTGAAGAGCAAAACCAAACGAGTACCGGTAGCTTTGGGAATGTCAAGTAAAAAGACGGCATAGACAGATAGTAAAAAGCTACAATCATAAACGTCATCAGTAGGCAAACCACAAAGTAACCATGTTGGCAAGCATAATGAATACAGCTGAACAAGATGGCATTCACAAGAACGAATTTGTAGCGAGAAACTAAAGGCAGCAAGTGAGAGCAGGCAAGTGCTACTAGGGTGAGGGGAGACAGGGGGCTGGTTTCTGTCACATCAATGAAATGATTACATCCGCAAGTAGGCCAAAAGGCTGTTCTATCCTATCGGGACTCGTCCGCAATGTACATACGACCGCTTCACCAAGAACCGAACCCATGACTTTCTAGGAAAGTGGCTTAGGCCGCAGCTTATAAATGTTATGTAGTACATAGCTGCTATACTGGAAGCCGTATCTCCAGATCCAACGTTGTTCCCTGCAAGTTTAATGACTTGAATGACAGTAGACGGTGGACCGCGCTATATCGCAGTTAGCCTATCAGTTATGAAGATTCGTCGCTGGGTCTCATGGCCTGGTGGCAAAATCCGCTGGCATCAAGACGTCGTGAACTAGGTTTCTGGTGGAACCGGGTGGATACACGCTGCTGACGAGTGCCAATAGGACGAAACAGCCGTCTAGCTCATTTGCAGATGTGTGGTAAGTCATCCAGCTGGGAGCTGAGTGCAATGAACAACCTACAAATTTTTACCAAAACCTACTCATAAGTGGTGATAGGTAAGCTGCAGGTTTTCATGGGAGGACGAAGGGTTGATGAAAGCATTCGGTCGGCTCAGTTACTCAGCGGAGGGTTAAAGCGAGGGTGGAGCAGGACAGTGTTTTTACAAAGCATAAGTCATGTGTAAGACACATCGGTCAAAACTTCATTCCACGCTAATGATCACCCATGATTCCAGAACCGAAGAGCATGGACCCGGTCCTCGCATCTCCCACCCTTCTGAAGACAAGTATAACCAATGGCGGAGGATAAAAATTAAAATATCCAGCAAATGGAATCTAGAGAGAAATTTAAAGGAGCATGCAAGGTAACAGGAAGATGAAGAGGGAGAATGCACAGCAACCACTGTACTATGTGACAGCACAATGTCGGAGGAGTTTGCAACACTGGCATGCTTTGGTCAGGGGTGAGGTGTAGAACAGTAGTGTCCCCGGTGCTACTGTAGGGGTAATAAGCCAGTCACCATGTTGCAAACAGTAAATGACAATTCATCTTTAGCAGCCATAGCCTGCGTGGGGCCGGCCATTATTGAAAACGTGCCCAATGTGTAATGAGGTCGTCTGCCAATTGGAGCTAGAAGCAAACACACTTAGAGCATCACTAGACCACACTTCGAACAAACCGAGCCATGTCCGCATGGTCGCGGGAAAAAGTGAGCATCATCGCCTCATTAGCCATATCTTCATTATCTTCAAATAACTCATGCGACATCGGGAGACTGTTCGCTGTTCCACGTAGGAGCTTAATTAACGGAAGCTCGACTGCCTTCCGGAAGTGAACTGACTACTGGTTAGTTCGGCGGAGCTGTACGCCACAGGACGCGTCCCCAGCTTGCGGATCGGGGAACATCATCCTTGTGAAAATAACTGTGAGTAAGTCGTGGCTGTTTTCAGGTGAGATGAATAAGCAGTCTCGGACAATCAGCGGCAGCGTCCTAGAGCGTGGAGGTTCTGATCTGGTCACTTGGTTCTTCATTAAATACCGCAAGAGCTCGTAAGACGATGTGTCAAAGCCAATGAGACCGGATATAGTGTCACTGACCACTCACTTTTGGGACCTGAAGTGAGTATTCATTGGAGAGCGGATGAACTACCTCGATAGCCACCGGATTCTTTGAAGGCGTATGAGCCACCTGGCTGTCAACGACCTTCACGCTCTTCGGCGAGTACGTTGGTCTAGGAAATTTCTCGTGACCTACGTGCTGCTTCACTCGGGCTTCTTGGACAGCCTGAGCAGTTTGTTCCAGCTCGAAAGCCGTGTTATTATCATCATGGTAGCCGGTTCCCAACGGTATGCGATATACGTCAATCGCCCAGCTGCTTTGCGTGTCAGGTTTTTAGACCGAAGGCTCCTCGGCCTGGGCAATCGGGAAGTACCATGCCCACGCAACCTATGGACCATTGTTTCAACGACTTCCTGCCATCTCTCTCTCTCTCTCTGCTCTTTGCCAACGCATTCCTTGGCCGAGGTGCTGACAGCCGAACATGCTATATCACACTCTACCGCACCACAGTTTGGTTACTTTATTCCACGTTTGTTCAATTCCCCCATCCTTGGTAATCCCCCCCCCGTTTTCGAGTCCACAACATCGAGTCGCCTTGGGAGTGTTTTCGTGATACAGAGCAGGAATTTAGGTCCGAGGGCGTGCCGCCTAGTGGTATTGGCAAACCTTTTCCAGCGGACCATTCCCAATTCAATATGGCGATTTTCAACGTCCGGACGCTGATGCAGATCAGACCACAAGCAGCACTTGCTCGCACGTTTGAGACTTCTGGTATTGATGTCTGCTGCCTCGCTGAAACCCGAGTACAGAACCCTAGCAAGACGCTACGACGGGTTTCGCCGTCTGCGAGCTCCACTGGCATTTACACCTTGCGCTTAGTTGGAGACGAAAGCGCCGAAGCCGCTGGTCTTGCCGGCGTGAGGAGTGCGTTAAGCACACCTGCTGATGCCGCGCTATTTGACTGGATCCCTGTCAACAGTCAGCTCTGCGCTATCCGACTTGAGACCTCAGTGCAACTTTCCAGCCGTGGAGCCAGCAGACGTTGCTCGTTCGATGTAGCAGCGTACACTCCCACAGACTGCAGCTCTGATTCAGTTAAAGACGAGTGGTACAGGCAACTGTCCGACCTCCGAAAAATGCGCCGTACATACGTCGTGGTGTTTGCAGGAGACTTAACCGCGCAGGTCGGTAGACTTGTAGTTGAAGATCGTAAACTCGGTGGTCAACATAGCCATGGCACTCGCAGAACCGATAACGGTGATCGCCTACTTCATGTTTGTGTCGATCACGGGCTCTTCCTGTCGAGTAGTAGCTTTCAGCGATCCTGGCGCCAACGCGCGACATGGAGGCGTCTGACACCTGGCCAGCCATGGACGCAGATTGACCACATCGCCATAAGTTATTGCTGGGGGCTGCATACAGGATTGCAAATCAATCTGGAGTACGCACCTCCCTTCGGACTACGTGCTCGTGTGTGCCAAGAAATTTTTATGTTTTGGTGGCTCCCGACGACGTCGCCGGAAAAGGTTTGACGTAGGCAAACTTTCTGCCTCAAGCGTTCTCAACGCGTTTCAGAATACGTTGTCCTCAAATCTCAGGAGCGTCTCATACTCTGACGTTGGAACGCACTGGGCACATATCCGCAGCGCCATGCATAACTCTGTGATCCTGGTCTGTGATTACACCAGTAGTCCTGTCAACCACTGGATCTCTTCACGATCCCTCCGACTTCTTGAAGCTCGTCCGGCAATTCCACCTGGTGTTGAGTATCATTCACTACGCAGGACCACTAACGCTGAACTCAAACAGCTCCTAAGGGAAGACCGCGAGGCCTGGTGGACGCAACAGGTCGTGATTTGGAGCAGGCAGGCAGCTTAGGGAATTTCCGAAAACTTTTCCACCTGATCCGATCTACTGGCGGAAAAAGGTCGACTGTAAGTGAAATTTTGTGCGAAACCAATGGCGAGCGCATCAACTGCCAACAAGGTCGACTTGTGCGTTGGGCTGAGCACTTTGAGTAGCAGTTCAAATGGCCTGCAACACCGGTGATCCCTCATTCGGAAATTCGTAGTGCTCCCTGCTGTGTAGACGCTTCACCACGTCCTGTGGCTGAAGTTGCTCGTGAGCTTCGCCTCCTAAAGCGCTACAAAACCCCTGGCCCGGACGAACTTCCTCCGGCTCTTTCCAAAGACCGAGGTCCATCACTTGTTCGGGAGCTAACTTCTCTCCTCCAAAAGATTTGGACCACCGAAGCAATCCCTTCCGATTGGAGTCTGGCGGATACCGTGCCCGTCTTCAAAAAGGGTGCGCGGAAGGACTGCGCTATAATCACAGAGGGATTAGTCTCAACTGCATTGCCTCTAAAGCGCTCGCCGCCCTGCTTTTAAGGAGGCTCAGCCTGGTACGCGAATAAAACATACGCGAAAAACAAGTTGGGTTCCGCTCCGACCGGAGTTGTATCGACCACATCTTTACATTCCGCCAAATACTCGAGCGTCATCAAACGTTCGGCCGGCCAACCATCGTTGTCTTCTTAGACGTACCAGTCGCGTTTGACTCAGCTGACCGAGGTGCTCTCTGAAGCTGTAGCTTGAGAAGCGGGGGGGCTGAGAAGTACGCCAACATCCTTCCAGCCATCTACTCTCGAACCTCGGGCCAAGTGCGGGTGTATGGCGAACTTTCGCCGCTCTTTGGTATTACTAGTGTTGTGAGACAAGGCTGCCCTGCATCACCGTTCCTGTTCAATTTCGCTATTGATGACATCTTGGAGAGCGCCCTGGAGCATTGCGGACCCAGCGGCGTTGAACTGCTTCCGGGAGACCGACTTCGCGATTTGGAGTATGCAGACGACATCGCCGTAATTTACGATTCTTCACAGGCTGCCCAAAATATGCTGCGCAGGACTTGCTCCAACCGTTCCCCATTCAAGTCAATTTCTGGAAGTGGTAGACAAGTTTTTTTTGTACCTCGGAAGCTGCATCAGCGCTAACGGTTTAACGGATGAGGTCTCCTTGCGCGTCTTTAAGGGACGAGTTGCGTTTGTCAATCACCGCCATCTCTGGCGTCGCCGCGACCTGAGTCTAAAATGCCACGGTGAGAGCGGTCCTGCTCCACGGTTGCGAGACTTGGCCTGTTCGCGCAAAGGAGGTTCAGAGGCTGTCTGTCTTTGATCACCGCTGCCTTCGGAGCATTGTTGGTGTGCGGTGGCAACACCACAATAGTAATGAGGATGTTCGCCGAAGGATTTTCAAATCAGCTGGCAGCTGAGCCGCCGTATAATTTCAGTGCATAACTTCCGGTGGCTTTGGCACGTGCTTCGCGTGCCTACTGAGCGTTTGTCTTACCGTGTACTCTTCGCGTACACAAGTCGGCTGGAAGCGAAGAGAAGGTAGTCAGCGAATGACTTGGGCCAAAAATATGAAGGCGCCGACTTCACATTTGACTGCAATCGGGCGCTCTCGACTCCCCGGTTGGGAGCCCAAGAACAATGAACCCATTCGGCTGGAAACCCTATCGGACATGTCAAGAGACCGTGAGCAGCGGCGAACATGTCGTGAGATTCTTCCCTCATGACTCCAGTTTTGAACATTTTTACCCACTATTCCCTTATTGTTGTATTGTTACGTTTGTCCATACGTTGTGGCATCCTGCCAATTGTACTGTTGACTGTGTTCGACATATATATATATATATATATATATATATATATATATATATATATATATATGGTTGGCGGCATTCGGTTTCGGATTTGCCTGTCACTGTGGCAAGCCACAGGACGCCTGCGCCTACAGAGGGACCATGGATGGCTTGAGCTGCACCACCCACAGCTCCAACCACATACCCCATATCCAGTGTAAACCCGAAGGAATAAGACCGGGAGGCATGCGGATGGGAACCACGTTTCATCAACGGAGCCGGCCCACACTCCTTCACAGGCAAACACAAGCACGCTGTATTTGGGGAATCAACCGCACACAAGGCGGTGGCTGGACCGTAGTCCGCTCCACACTGAGTGCATGGAACCGCTCTTTGAGCCTAGCACGGCCACAAGAACCGTGCACCCCGTCCCCTCCAGCAACGACCAACTGTCTCCTGGAGCCAGTATGAACGATGTAGTGGGTAATAGACAGGTAGGCACCTTGTCAACATACACATCAAGCGCAACCATACCAGGGATATCAAACAACAGCCATTCACATTAAACGACAAGCCGAAATAAAATAAATCCAATAATGCATACAGATACGGTGGCATAACTCTTCGCTAAATTACCATATGAACTAATTTGGTTAGCAACAAATCCGTGATAAGTAAGAAATGTACACAAGTTACTTAAAATGCTACAAACGCAACAAAATTACCGAAGATAAGCGCAATTAGTGTTAGCAACGTGGCCAGTTAATAGAACATTATTCAGGGAGGCAGACAAACCAAATAAAGCGAAATGAAATTTAGACAGCTTAAAAAGACCTAGTTTAAGTGTAAGTTGGTTTAGCCCAACTGCGGTGAAGAAGCATCAAGAATGCAACATCAGCCTCAGCATGGGGCACACATACATACATGGTTGGCGGCATCCGGTTTCGGATTTGCCTGTCACTGTGGCAAGCCACAGGACGCCTGCGCCTACAGAGGGACCATGGATGGCTTGCGCTGCACCACCCACAGCTCCAACCACATACCCCATATCCAGTGTAAACCCGAAGGAATAAGACCGGGAGGCATGCGGATGGGAACCACGTTTCATCAACGGAGCCGGCCCACACTCCTTCACAGGCAAACACAAGCACGCTGTATTTGGGGAATCAACCGCACACAAGGCGGTGGCTGGACCGTAGTCCGCTCCACACTGAGTGCATGGAACCGCTCTTTGAGCCTAGCACGGCCACAAGAACCGTGCACCCCGTCCCCTCCAGCAACGACCAACTGTCTCCTGGAGCCAGTATGGACGAGGTAGTGGGTAATAGACAGGTAGGCACCTTGTCAACATACACATCAAGCGCAACCATACCAGGGATATCAAACAACAGCCATTCACTTTAAACGACAAGCCGAAATTATATATATATATATATATATATATATATATATATACGCACGATATGAAAAACGTGACTACATAGGAATGTTTCGATTGGCGCCGTTGTAACGTCAAGACCTACGCATTGCTGTTGTATGAACTGAATGCGGTCGCTTAATCGACTCATCATGCTCAGTGATGGAGGAGTCTATTGATGATAAGCTCTCGGGCATAGGAAGAACATGAGATATCAAACAGCCTATCACGACAGTCTTTCTTGACATAGCCGGCCGATGGCTAAAAAGACAAGGCGCATGCCTTACATCCGGGATGACCGGTTAGAGCCTGCGTAGGAGACCGGGCGACCATCGCAGCGTCCTTAGCCTAGGAGCGACTATTGGTGGTTGCGTTGGAGAGAAGCGTCCGTACAGCGTATCGGTGTTCTGCTTGATACGAAGGATGCTGTTGACTCAGTTCGCCGCTTTTTATTATGGTGACAGTGATTATGGCGAAATGTCACGAGGACCAGGTCTGTGTAAGCATCTACGGTACACCGTCCCTGGTGTTTTCAGCAAAAAAGCGCGCCTAGCCTAAGCAGTAGCTTCGTTTTGACCGAAGTCAGTATGAGTGCCACTTCCACTAGTGTAAAGTTAATAGTACCTAAGTAACCGTTAAAAATAAATATAGGACATACCACGCCTTGAGCCAAACTGCAACGCAATCGCTGTCGAATAAGCCGTCGCGGAAGACTGGATCTTCCAGCATGTGCTTCTCCAGTTCAAAACGCGGAATGCTCCTACGGAATCGAACCGAGTTAACACCAGCACGCCAAATCACCGGAGGATCACACGAAGTGGTCGATGAACCAATGCATCGAGGAAGTTGTACAACCCCTAGTAGATGCTATTAATAGACATGACTAAAGCTCGTGTGGATTTTCCGAGGCTTAGTCGTATAGCAAAGTGGGCGGATATACACTAATTGGTGAGCGGACAGTGTGATGCTGTATATGAAGCAGCATTCCACCGCTACTTTAAATCAATGCTTTGCTGTCTCACAACCACTTGCGATTGCATGTGGACCATACTACTGCCTAGGTGTCCAAGGTTAAGGAAGATAGGTGACGCAAACAAGGGGTGTGTAAATCGAAAGCCGGGAGCATTAGACACTACGTCAACGATCAGAGTCAGTATCCATGCCTGTTTAGAACATTGTTAGACTGGATGTGTTTAATCCATGATATTTGCGAAGCACCGCTCATGTCTGGTCGGAGCACCGAACAGGCACCACTGCATGAAAGTCCTTAAAAAAATATCAGCGGATAGTTAGCGGCAGAATACATGGTGCCGAATTAGAGCATCTGTTAAAATGGAACCGTCCACGCTGACAAGTAGCAACAATAACAAAATCACACCAGAATTTTCTAGTAAGCGAGGTTCATTAAGTGGGATTAGTTGCAACGTTCACAGATGAGACTCCAAAACAACGACCGGGATAAAACATCTGCGGATGCGCTACTGTGGAGCTCTGGCCTAGTGACCAAGACGCAAGCCGTCAACCACTGTGTTGTGCTCAGAACGAAACCCGTCGGTCATGGAGTGCAGTGTTGGGAGAAAGCAACTTTGAAACTCTACATCTGTGGATGCACTTTCACGAGCAATGCGGCGACAATAGTAGTAAGCTGTACAGTGGAATATTGGTCTATGACAAGTAAAATGTATATAATTCGTAGGCCTCTTATGCCTGTTAGTGATATAATTACGAAAGTAACGATCGTTGGAACAAACCAAAACACGTTTCGGTGAGTCATGACAAGATACTATAGAAGCGAGAATGTAGAAATGGGATAGTAGCATGCAAAAACAGCATGACAAGTCATTATAGCTAACGCCTCGGAATGCTCACGCGCATGCAATGACTTCAGTGCATTCGCGTGGAGTAAAGTTTTAAGTAAGCTAAATCACAGGGACACATTCCAGAGTGCCTGTTCAGGCAATAAAGTGCAGGGAGCTGACTGCGATATCCAAACATTATGAAGATGGCTAAATTTGGGACACAAACAACAGAGTTTGGAAGAGCATTCCAGGATTGAGAAACCAGAAGGATGAAGTAAGTTCTACCGCAATCTAAACGACCGCATTGATGAATCAATAGGAGCGTATTACCTAACAAATCAGTGAGTGCTGAGTTCCAAAATGTGACAGCGTACGTGGTTGGAATCGTTCACTATTTGATGTCACTAGGAGGTGTCCGTAAAACCGCCGGTAGCGTCCACTAAACAACCAGACTTTCTTCAGCCGCTGCTGGTAGCGCAAACGCTTAATATTCTTCGTCGCCGGATGTGGTATGGCATGGATTTCTGCGAGGGTACGCTCAAACTAAGGTTGCCAAGCCTGAATAGCGTATTCGATGTGGTGGCGCACGTAGGCATCGTACATCATAAAAATGGGATGAATCCAAACTCAGGAGTTCCCTTCGCGTGAGGTCAATTTGGTGGTTACTACTTTACGAGACAGGCTAAAATTGTATGGAACAATTTAGGTCGTCCTGTGTGAGAACATTAGGGCCGCAGGCGGTGCGCTCCGACGTGTTGGTGGCGAAGTTGAGCAATTCGGTACCTGTCCGCATTGAATGGAATGCTTTCCACATCGAACATCTCCAGATCTTGTCAAGGTCGCGCAATTCGACTTCGTGGTCGCCCAAACTCTTGACAGCTAGTCAAGTCTTGAGATCATCCGTAAAAAGTAAGAGCACTGAGGTGATAACTCCCACAAGACCGTTAATAAAAAGTGAAAACAAACCAGGACTAAGTACCGAAGCAAGCATATGCCGCAATTGACTCGAATTGGGTCGGACGAATATGTCTGAAGTGTAATCTCCAACTGACGTTCGCGAGTAAATGTGTCCGATAAAGCAGTAGTTTGGGTGGAATTTCGACCTACTAGAGGAGGGAAAAACATTTGCAACTGCACGCCAGCACATTGAAGGGACCCAAGAAAAAGACTGGCAAACGAGAAGCACCTTACCTGAACCGAAGAGCACCGCTTGTCATTCCATCGGAGTTTCAGGTAGCTAGCAGCTTTCGCAAACTTGCCAAGCAGATGAGCGGACGATGTCCGCGGAGGTGTGGCAGGTCGCTTGAAATTGGGACACTGTGAATCATGAAGGAACAAAGTATTTGATAAGGAAGTGTGTTAACCCCACCCCCATTCACTGCAACAGCAGCGGTAAAAAGTCAACAGTGGTACTAAAATCAGAAAATTATTCGAAGGGAACAATTAAAACAGTTTCTTCAACGGCAGCCCCTTAATCAGCTAGCGTAATCTCTGCCTATAATGACGGACATAATTCAAACCAGTTGAATCATATAATTAGGCAGCTAAGGAAAAACCATATCCCTGGGGTATATGTCTGCGTGTGGGAGAACAAATTAAAATAGGCTTTGGATTCTGTGATTCCAGAAAGCCGAAAAATTCAAGTCAAGCTAGGATGGATTTGTGACTCAAAAAGTGTAACCATTCGAAAGATAAATTTTTGGTGCGAGAAAAACCTGTGCGGGTTGCGAACGCGATCAGAACGATGATCTGCGCTGTCTGTTTTGCACATACACTATAAAGTCCTCACAAAGACGGAACCAATATGAGCAAAAGCGCAAAAGAGATCGGTATAGGGAAGTGGAGGAAACAGGCACTTTAGCGTTTGTCCGACTCCTTCTTGGATACCGAAGCCTCGTAATGTGGTTAAGTGTTACCATGCAATATAGAACGTAGGTAGAAAATTAACACATCCAGACTCAATCAGGCAGCAATCAAACGACCGGAAAAGCACTGTACGGCCGTTTCAACCCACCGGGGAGACTCAGCAGTGCGCATTTCATCTGACTTCTGTGGGACTAAACCCCGCAAATCCACCCTTACCAGTCTGTGGTACAGGTCACTGAGCTACGGAGGACGATAACGACCACAGTGCCTAAGTTACTAGATGTGATATAACCCTGCTCACTATTCAGTGACTTGTACATTACTATCGTGTAGAGGACAGGGTAGCCCTCCACTATTCCCGAAGGGGTAAAACGGTCGTACCGTGCTTTTCCGGACGTGTGTTGGCTGTCTAACTGAGCCTAGATGTTATAAACTACCTATAATGGTATTTCATCAACCTGTATTCAGGTCGTGGTAATTAGTACCTTACCGAGAACAACTGTCACATCTGCGTCCAGAGATGTCGCCAACCCAGTGAGCCAATGAAACGGATCCAAAACGGCCTCAGTGCTGCTGTCTGTCGTGAAAAGATAATAGCTGCTATCGATCGCTTCGGTTGTTGAGTGATATCACTCCACTCCAAAGTCATCGTCATTATGCCGGTGCGGTGCACCGGCGCTTCGCCGCGGCGACCGCCACCGGTAGTGTCTGGGCTCGTTATAACGCGGTCGCCCGCACCCATACGGATTCGAACTGGTGACCTCCGGAGTACAGAGCACGTGGGTAATATTTTCTGTCACCGGGCAAAACCCCGGTCCAAGTGCTGAAGATCTAAGGAAAACCAGATAGACTGAGTATCCGTGCGTGGAAAGGAGTCTGACATTTGGAGAACCGGTCAATATATAGCCGTGCTGCTACCATGGGAAGTCTGCAGTATTTCTGACAAAATTGCCGTCACTTGTCCAAATAATATTTTGCCTAGGGTTATCTATATGGATAACATACGGTGCATATGAATGAGGCTAAGACGGGTGGTTCAACATCACTTCTGTCCCATCCTGTTTTATTCTGTCGTCGCACTGACTGCCTGGCTTTAATTGGAATATGTGATCTGATTGCCGACACCATATTCAAGTCCCTGAAAAGTACTGTTGATAACACAGCTTTGCAAAGAGAGGTTTACCAAAGACAGACACCCTATCAACTACAGAGAGAAACGTCATTTCTCGCTGGTTTTCACTGGGGGATACCAGAAAGCCCTATCACCCAAGGACCCGGCGATAACTAGGAAACTGATAACACTATTGATAGTACAGTAAATATAACAGTAAATATAACTGATGATTCGACAACGGAGGTAGGTACGCTTTCTGGTGTGAAGATCAAACAGTTGCCAGCCAAAAACATAAAAAAACAAGGATGAAAAAATGCAAAACGCGTTTCTTCAGTGGTGATGTCCACTAGGACCCATCTAATATATCGCTGGATGACCAAGAGTTCAGTCACGGTGGAGGTTGGCTATGCCTCATTGAAGAGGAAATAGTAAAATCACCACCGATCGAAGAACACCATCAGATACCGCAGACCGAGGCCCACTCGAATGGCGGGTCGATAATGCCTGATCCCAACAAGCCAGTCAAAAGTAACCATCAAGTGTCATAGTATAAACTCACGAAAGGACTACTAGCCGAATGACTGAGTTCTAACGAACTCCAAACTTCACTACTGCTTATGGTCTTCTAAGCTTTAACATCAGTTTCTATAGACGTTCCTGATGCAGCATTCGATGTACAGCCGTATTTGGTCATACCCCGCAGGGCACCAAAGAGGATCCACACCTATTTAGCACATAAGACTGAATTCTATAGATGGATGTTATTCGCAAATTATCAAACCTATCAGTAGAGAGCTATCTCAGCCACAGACATCTACTTTAGTGAATGGGCTTTCAGAAAAAGAGCACAAGTAATCAATCCCAGTCGCATCATCGCACCGCTGTTAAAATATAAGCATCCCCTCTTCTAAGCGCCGCCCCACCGCAGATCCATAGCGGAGTCAATCTAATTAACCGAATGTACAGGTAAGGTCGAGTATACGCACCTCTGGCGATCAATATACCTGTTTCACGAGCTTGGCTAAATTTACGAGTATCATCGCCTGCCTGTATGCGTAAAGACGGCATCGAGCAATTCATTCTTTAATACTGTCCAATACTAGTAAATCAGAAGAGTCAGAATGACGTTAATAAATGGTTAGACAAAGAACATAACATATGTCAATTCGATGAAGTTCAGAAGATCATCTTCTAAGAAAAAACAGCGTGCAAAACCGTGCCGATAGCTGAAACACAGCGATTCCATCGAATTGAATCCCAGCCGTCAGAAAGCAGTTAAATTATAAGATACATGTAATGCGGACTGGGAGCAATCTAACTAGGCACATTCAGCAGACCACGAAAATTTGTAGTGTATCGGGTCGCGACCATACCCACAGCCAACAATATACCAATGTTAGTTTGCGACCAAGCGATAACCAAGGTGTTGCAAATGTTTCTCAAATGGATAGGTCAATCGCGGAGATTTCCAGCTTCTAGTCAAAGCAGTAAACTTCATACATATTTGCGATTCACTGTAAACTGTGGGAACGCATTGGAATATATTAAAATCCATTAGGCGATGAAATAAGCTACCTTTTTCTTACCAACACCCGTTGAGCTAAGTGATCCTAAACCGTACACAGCAAATGACATTTTTGATGATATAGACATACTGGTGGGCTCCGTCTATAATCCGCCACATTGTAATGATCTAGCACTGGCTAAGTGTAAGAATACCTTTTACTGTGCAGCAAAACAAACTTGCAAGAACGCTTTATGCTGATGAACCCAGCAACAAACAAACAAGAACAGCCCGTCAGTCATTTGAACTGATTCTACGCAGATCTGAAACAATGGCGACACAGGGAACGAAGAAAATTAAGAAAGAGGCAGTACAAAACCAAAATTCCATAAGCAAAGACAAGAACTAGGCATCTAAACCTTGCCAACAACATAACGTCACAAACAGTTGGCTATGGTGCAAAAATAAGGCGGCATTTGGCGAGACAGCTTCCTTGCGGCTTTCACTGCCCCGCGCCATAATCAGCCATTACCTCGCAGATAACTCAGCACCAAACACACTTTAAACAGGCAACCCATTTAGGAGACGCCAGCAGACACGCCACTGGTGTCGGTTGCGAGCCATGTCCTGTAAAGTCTCGAGCCAAACACAAGGTGAGTCACGTGGACTCCAGCCCGGAAGACGAGACGGACCAACGGAACCCAGTTTGGTTGTCAGTGACTTCATTTCCCGCTGCCAAGTCAACTTCTGTCCACCTCGAGCCTTGCGCCACCCAACACCTGGCAGACTAAACAAGGCCCTCCTAGGTAAGCCGTGACGAGACATACGTAACACATACAAGAGCCAACGGAACTTATTCAATGCTATCTGTTGTTCTAGGGAGCTAGCATGTTTATCACTACCTAGTACTCGCCTACGCACATCATCGTTGCGGACACGCTGGTGCCATCCGACACCAACAATGCTTCGCCAACAACGATGATCAAAGACTTGAAGGCGCCTCAGATCTTCAGACCGAAGGAGTCAGGTCTCACTCCTATGGAGCAAAACGTCCCTCACTGTGGCATTGTATACACGGCCTTTCAGTCGCATAAGATGCCACAGGTTCAAGAAGACAGCTCTGACTTTTGCAATGTGTGAGCTGACGTCAGTTTCTATGCGTCCGTCATTGCTGATGCAGCTGCCAAGATAACTAAATTGATCAACCACCTCGAGTTGCTCGTTAGAAGCGTCAAGGGGTCATCCAGTGGGTGGTGGTCCTGCAGTATCATTTTGCACTTTGAAGGTGCGAAGTGCGTACCAAATAATGGGACCACGCTTTACAGGCTATTCAGGGTTGACTTTGCCGTCGCAACATGGTCGGAAAACAAGAGGATATCGTCCGCATAATATAGGTCAAATAACCTTACACCAGGCAGCATTTCAACGCCTACATCGAGATCAAGAAAGGGAACACTCCATGATAGAATCCAGGACGAAATTGGACAAAGAAGGGGAATTCCAACAACTCTGACGAACGCCAATCGTAGTCGGAAAGCTATCCAACAAGTCACCATAGACCATGACGCGCCCAACAGTGTTCCAGTATAGAGCACGAAGGATGTTCACATATTTCGTGGGAACACCTTTCCGCGCAACTATTTCGAACAGAAGCGATCGACCGACTGAATCGAACGCACTCTTGAAATCGAGGAACACAGCTATTGTCGATCTGCGGTATGTGTGGCGCAGCTTTAGCACCTGCCGCAGAGTGAATATATGGTCTTTAAAGCCACGTCCTGGACAGGAACCTGCCTAATCTCCCCTAATATGCGATTCCCGTTCCGCAGTGAG